CCCCAAAAAAAAAATTTTAAAAAAATTTAAAAAATTGAGCGCATCAAAATTTGCGCATGGCGCATGCGCACCGCAGAAGTGCGCCGCGAGTATGGTATTGACTCTATTGAGCTGTCAAGTTGTGAATAGTGAAAGACAGTAAGCTGTGATATGTGAAGTACTGCTTATTACTAATGTGTTTTTTTTTTTTTGGTCTTTCTTTTTTTTCCCGGTCCGGCATGGTTGCATCCCTGCCGACCGCCAACCCCGACCGCCAAACCCGACCGCCAAACCCGACCGCCAAACCCGACCACCGACCGTATTGCAGCCGACCAGTAGGGCCGACCGGTCGGTGGTCTGCCAACCAGTCAGAAAACAAAGCCGGCAGAGGCTTGGCAACTGCGACCTGGCAACCATCCACTAATTTCTTTTCAGATCTGAGTTGGAAGCTGTACTGCGCTTGCTGAGTACAGCCCAAATCCGCTGAGAATTTTCTGGGAATGTGGGGGTTGGGGGAGGGGTGTATAGGGGGATATAGGGGGGTATAGCGGTGGTATAGGGGGTATTGGGGGGGGGTATGAGGGTGTTGGGGGGTGGTTTGGGGATGTTGGGGGGGTGTATAGGAGTGGGTATGGGGGTGTTGGTGGAGTTATTAGGGGTTCTGGCCGACCTCCGACCGGTAGGTGCCAACCAGCTGACCGGTCGGCGGGTCGGCAGCCGACCAGTCAAGGGTCGCCGACGGTCGGGGTGTGCAACACTGTTGACGAACCTATATTTTTCCGGCCCGAACGAATCAAACCAGTCCCTGCCAGGCCGGTAAATGGAGAACTTGGCCCACTTGTGTATCGCCTTTAAGTTTCAGAGGTGTGTGCTTGTACGGGTGGTTCCTTTCTTTTTTTTTTTCCTTAAAAAAAAAAAGGGAAAGAGAACGAAAAGGGACAACCTTCAAGATTTGATCTTGCCCCTTCTTCCGTTATAGGATAAACTTTTGGGAAAAAAATGAAAAAGAAACCTTAAAAAAAGCAGTTTCCCGCAGGCAAGTTAGGTAGAGAATAAAGGCAAGAACAGCGCCCAGCCCAAGTGCCTGAATGGTATGCACATGTAACTGTTGATAAACAGATCATGAGCTCAAATCCAGAGGGAATCAGATGGATACAATGATAGGTAGGTAGAAATAGGGCAAGCAATCCCATTCAGAAGCACAGGTTGTTGTTGTTGTTTTTTGCAGAAGCACAGGTTGTAGAGTGTTCAAAGCTCAAACTTCAAAGTCCGAGATGGGGGCAAGGGTTGTTGAATGAGAGCTTTGGGAGATGGAGTTGGTATTGGAAGACATCATCGCTCTAGCTGTTAACATGACAGAAAAAGGACGACAGAGCGAAGGAGCATGGCACGGCCGCTTACCACCCATCGATCAACTAGCTGCAGTGACATAAGTTTGTTGGTATCGCTAAACTGTCCAAAGGAAAAACGACACAATAAAACACACGACAAGGGAGGTTTGTTAACACCCACGAAGGAAACATTTTCTTTTCTTTTCTTTTGAAAAACTACACTATATTCTTCTCTCAAATTATTTTGCCGTCCACTACCTATTCACTCCTAAGGCTATTTGGAGGGGATCCCCTTCACCGTGAACGAAGCATTTCGATAAATAGTAAATACCATTTTCTTTGTTACGGAGTTTTAACTTTTAATAGAGTTAATAATGTTAACTTACCGGTGGTTATTATTAACTAAATATTCAAAATTTTGTTGCAATGCCAGAACTTGAATGATCTCATGTTTCGACAAACCCCGAGGAATACAAGGGTGTATTATAAGCACGGTAAAGCCCTGATGAATACAAGTGTGTACAGGGGGACAGGGGGGTGAGAAGGGCAAAGGCAGGGAGAGGAAAGGAAGAAAAAGAAAAAAAAAAGGGAACAAAGTTCATGAGCAGGCTCACCCAATATCCTCACCCCCTTTCCTTTTACTCTGAAGATTTACCAGCGCCTGAAAAGCCGATAAACGCCCACCGCTTTTGATGTCTCCTTTATCTCAGTGATATAAATATCTATCAATAAATTACAATAATACAATATCCTAGCGATAGACCCACTTTTACATCTACCATGCAAACTGCATAAACAGCTACTTAGAAATCTTCAAATCTCTCTCTCTTTCTCTCTCTCTTTCTCTCTCTCTCTCTCTCTCTCTCTCTCTCTCTCTCTCTCTCTCTCTCTCCCCCTCTCTCTCTCCTGTGAACATTTCGGTGAATACACCATTCAGTTATTCATATGCTTACCTGTTCAGATATTGACTCTCGGCCTCTCAGGATCGTTTTTCACGGCTTACCTGTTCTCGGGCTTTTCATTACATCGACAATTTGGGAAGGAGTAGGAATTTGATTCTCTCTTATGTTCTTCCTACTTTCTTTCCATCCCTATGAATCTTGGTCCTCCGAATTCTCACACTTTGAGTCAATAACCTGTAACACGGCTTAAATACTGAGAAATTGATAGCTCTATGTGTGCTTGGTCGACGAAGTGCCTTTTGTGTCATGCTAAAAATTGCTCAGATGTGCATCCCAGACCAGAAACAACAGCGACAATCTACAAACTCACCCGGAGGTAGGCATAGTCCTGCGAATCGAAGGATCCCAGATTCTGCAATATGAACTTGCCCGCATTCCACAGCTTATTCGTCAGGGCCTTGTTCGACTTCAAACGTTCCATGGAGAGGTTCACATCCTGCATTTGTCACATCATATGTGATGTGAGTCCGGCAGAGAGAATGAATGGTCAATCACAACTTAGACAGACACACACACACACACACACACACACACACACACACACACACACACACACACACACACA